CATTCCTTTGTTCCCAGCACCCCACCTTTGGGTGCACAGCCTGGGCCTGCACGCTCCCCAGCACTCTGGTTGTAGGCCTCAACATCACACGGCCCCTCGGAGACAAAGCAGCTACTCCCAGCTGTAACTTCAGGAACATGGCCAGCAGACCCCTCTGGGCTCTCAGCTTCCTCCCTGCTATCGGCTTTCTCCCGGCCCTGGGCTCCTGCTGAGCTCTCACACAGACTCCTCAGCACCTGCCAGGCGGCCTGAGCCGACTCAATGCCCTCCAGGTGGGGCAACAGCATAGCGTCCACGCTTGCTCTCAACATGCAGAGCTCCCTTTGCATTCTCAGCTCTCTATCTTCCAGGAGTGCAGCCTCCAGTTCTGCTCCTCCTTCTTCAGCAGCAACTGGCATGGGTGGGGCGGGCTCCTTCTGGGCTATACTCCAGAACCCTGTGGCCAAAAACCACCCCCTGACTCTTCTAACCCAGATATCCCAGGACTGGGTTGTGAGCTTTTCAAACGGGACATCATAAAAGTCCTGGAGCTCAGCCATCTCCTCCCACAGTGCTCCCATACCAGTACTCACGCGTACCAGCCAGCTTCAAAGGAGAGGCCTCCAGTGGCTCCTTGCAGCACACAGCATGCAGCCAGCTTCCCTGCTTTCTCCCAGGCGAAGCCTCAAAACAGGACTTTTGCCTTCCGGCAGCAAAACAACAGCTTCTCAGTTTCTCAGCCCTCTTAAGCACACAGCACATCAAAGCAGGCTTCCTCTAATTGCGATTACTGCCCCCATAACCTGTTAGATAAATTGATTTATTGCTCAGATAAGCCTGAGGTCCGGCACGCTTCCCCATCGCGGGCCTCTGCATTCCAAAAACCGATACGTCTGAGCATAGCAGAGTTGAGATCAACAGTGGCTAGAGGAAGCTGCAAAACACTCCAGTGCATTCTTCAGTGTGCTTAAATAAAGTCCACACAGGATCTTAGCAGCTAAAAGCAGTTTTATTTACAGCAGACTATCCATTATCTATCACAGCGAACAGCATTGCGAAAACACGTCCTCTCTCCTCAAAAGCGAAAGTAGAGAGAAAGAACAAAGACTTGAGTCTCTCGGAAATGACATAGCATTTCCCCCCTCCTCTCCACAGTAGGCAGAGCGTACACTCTGAGCTGTTTAACCCTGTAAGCTCAGGTTCTCCTCACAGGTAATGCTCTCGCGGGAAGGTAAACGGCGTTTCCGTGCACTGCTCTGGTTCACCAGAAGCGGCTTAGTCATGTTGGCTACATGACCCGGAAGCTGTACGCCGGCTCCCTTGGCCAATAAAGCAAGATGAGCGCCGCAACCCCAGAGTCGGTCACGACTGGACCTAATGCTCAGGGGTCCCTTTTACCCCCCCCCCACATAGAATCAGAAAATTGTAGAGTCAGAAAGGACCCTGAGGATCATGTAGTCCAATCGCCTGCAATGCAGGAATATGCAGCTGCTCATACAGGGATCGAACCTGCAACCTTGGCATTATCAGCACCACGCTCTAACCAGCTGAGCTATCTGGGCTCTAGGCTGGATGCTTTGTTTGTTTGCACCATGTTACTTTGATTGGAAAATTTCCACTGGCTCAGAAAGTAGCACAGTCACAGAGGCTGTTAAGTGGCACGAACAGGGGCAAGGATACCCTGCCGCTACTCAACTAACCTCATTTGCTACCCGTTTGTTTGGGGGCACAATTCAGAATGCTTGCTCATCCTTGTGAATAGGTCTGCAGCACCTTCTTCTGTACAGACCCATCTGGTGGTTAAGCTGCTCACCAGAAGTCCAGTTCAGGGTGTCCCATTTTTAGGATAAGGTGAGTGGCTGCAATAAACATAGGAAGTTGCCTGGATTCAGACCACTGGTCCAGCCAGCCTGCTATGGTTTACAATGAATGGCAGCAACTCTCCGGGGTTCTAGGCAGGGGTCTCTACCAGCCCTTCTTCATGCAAAGCAGATGTTCTACAGCTGACCTACAGGAGCCTGATTTAGATAAATGGTATAATAACTTCACCACCACCTTGGGGAGTCACTGGTTACATTTCTCCCAAAGTTTCCGCAGTAGAGAATACATGAAGTTCCTTGACAACATTGGCTCCCCTCCCCATATCTTTTAAGAATAGACTTTTCCCATCAAGTTTTTGTGTGTGTGTCATATCTGGTTTGTTCATTGAACTGTATTATCATGTTACATCACATAATGAGACATGACAGAGTCAGCCCAGTCTGATGTGTTTGAGCATAACCCACTTTTGGGAATACTGAGAATACTGTTTGTCCCTAAAAATATAATTTCAAGAAGTTAAAGACAGAATAAAACACACACACAAACAAACAAATAGTTCTGAATTTTGGCAAGGCAAAATACTCTGGACGATGATTTAGAGGTCTCAATGTCATAGCCCCTTTCACCCATTCTCCCCCTTCTCTGTCTCTCTCTCTCTCTCACACACACACACAGTGAGCAGGTGAGTTTGTGGCACCAAGATGCCATAAGCCCTCTTTGAAATGAATAAATTTGCTCTGTTTTCTGCTTGACTTGAGCTATGCAAGGCAGCAAGCTACCTTTGCTTACCTTTCATTTCAAGATATAGCTCCTGAAGTCATTCTTGACATTTGCAAGATCAGATCTGATGTCTGTTTACATGCCAAAGAATGCATCATCTAGCAGAAGAAGCCCAGGAGCAGGAAAACAGATCTGGATGGTTATGCCTGGCAAAGGACTGAATGAGGGGGGGGGGATGACAAAAAGAACCCCCTGCCTTCTGATATCTCATATTTTAGGGGCTGCTGCTTCTCTTGAGGGGCATGAGGAATTTCTACCGCTATAAATAAGCTGTTGGCACATTGTGAGTGTGGATTTCTGAACATATGTAGCTGACATTCTGAGTCAGTCCATTGAATATTCCACCCCACTTCTCTCTATTCCAAGTGGCAGCAGATTCCAAAGCTCTCACGCAAACTCTGCTACCAGACAGCCTTTCAATGGAAGATGCCATGGATAGACTTTGGGGCCATCTACGTGCCACACATGTATTATAATACCAAACTGCTCTTTATAGCAAGGGGAGCTAATATGGTACCCCCCGGAAGTTGTTGGGCTCCAGTTCACATCTGCATGGCCAATGGTTGGAGTCCATCGACAACTGGAGGGCATTACATTGACCATTCATGCTTTACACCTTTGGTATTCAGCTGGTATACTCTGATTCATGATACGAACATAAAAAGCTGCCTTATATTGGTCTATATAACTCAAGATTACCTACACTGACTGGCAGTGCCTCTCCAGGCTTTCAGACTAGGTGTCTCTCAACCATACCTCAAGATCCCAGGGATTGAACCAGGGACAGCATTTGCCATAGGCAAATGCTCTACCACTGAGCTACAAGCCCTTCTCCAAAGTTTGGAGCCTGACCTCTATGAGCATGGGGGGAACCCCAGATGATGGAGTGTCTCAAGCCAAATGGCAGAGTGTCAAGGTGAATAGTTTGGCTGTTGACTTAAGCACCTTTTACAAGAGAAGGTAAGTACTCTGTGTTTATTTAATGAATCAGCTGAACCCCAGGAAGGTAATCATGTAGAAACATCCCATAGTTATGTGGCAGGACACTGTGGAGAGAAAAAGATGCTAAAGTAATAGATAGGCCTTTAGTCTAGGAGGGCTCTTCTCCTGAGGAGATGCTATGGTTGGTAGGCAGGTGAAATGAGAGAGAGATTTTGAAAAAAAGATGGATAGGAGAGAGATGTAGTAAAAATGTAAAAGTAGGTCCACATCTGCATTTGGGGGTTAAAGGTAGGCCTTGGGCCTGAAAAGGCTGACTACGTCTACTTCCTACATCTGCGATGAGTTTGGCATAGAGGGAGACTAGCAGACTTTCAGTGGCCCCCTAAAATTGTGAAATTCCCCTCCCTCTTCAGAATTCAAGGCTGAACTACTTGGGATTTGCCGGTGGGCAAGTGCTGCTGCACTGTGGTTCTGCTTCCCGGTTTCCCATGGGGATCTGGTTGGCCCCTGTGAGAACGGAGTCCAGGACTAGATGGAACTTTGGCTTGATCCAACAGAGTGCTTCTTATGTTCTTATTCCCTCTAGGATTTCCCATCTCATGCTGCCCAATGGTAGGCGTAACAAGGGTTATCGGACAATTCTGATGGAAACAGCAGTGCAAATTTTCGATGTTTGCTTGTTTGTCCCATGTCTGGAACAGATCAATTGATCCAGCAAATACGACTGGTATTCACTGCTGTTGCTGCTATTTTTGGTCAGCAAATGATACATAAGTGATTATATTCTGCACCTGGCCCCCCTACCCCGCATTTGCCTTGTTTTTCCTTTGCACTGAAAAGAGTGGTGTGGAATACTGTAATGATAACATAATTATTAATGCAATTTGTTATATTAAATTCGGCCACAGTGGACCATGAGACAAATAACATAATTTTTGTTGGAAGTCGAATCGCAGCAGAATGGAAACAGCATTGCAGCACTGTTTAATGTTTGGACAAGATACAAGGATTTATTGGAAAATAAAACTCCAAGGTGGTTGTCACCAATGGAAGCGAAAGCTCTGAAAAGGCTCAATATGGAGGCCAAATGGCCGAAATATTGGGAAATTTTGGAACAAGAAGGAGACAAATTGAAATTGCAGAGTTTCGAGAAACTAAAAAATAAAGTGAGAGATTGGCTTCATTATTATCAGATAATGGAGGCATATAATCTGGACAAGAAAATTGGCTTCCAGGTGGAAAAATCAAAATTAGAAACAGAACTGTTAGAACCCAAAACTAAAAATTTGTCAAAGATGTATAACTTGCTGTTGAAATGGAATACTCAGGATGAAATGGTGAAATCTGCTATGATTAAATGGGCACAAGATGTTGGACATAACATAATGATGGCTGACTGGGAACAGTTATGGACCACAGGTATGAAGTTTACGGCATGTAATGCCTTAAGAGAGAATATTATGAAAATGATATACAGGTGGTACATGACCCCAGTCAAGCTTGCAAAAATCTATCATTTGCCCGATAATAAATGTTGGAAATGTAAAGAAACTGAAGGTACATTCTTTCACCTTTGGTGGACATGCCCAAGGATTAAGGCTTTCTGGGAGATGATTTATAATGAAATAAAAAGGTATTTAAATATACCTTTCTGAAGAAACCAGAGGCCTTCCTTCTGGGCATTGTCGGCCAATTGGTGCCAAAGAAGGACAGAACTTTTTTTATGTATGCTACAACAGCAGCAAGAATACTCATTGCAAAGTATTGGAAGACACAAGATCTACCCACTCTGGAAGAATGGCAGATGAAGGTGATTGACTACATGGAATTGGCGGAAATGACTGGCAGAATCCGAGACCAGGGAGAAGAGTCGGTGAAAGAAGACTGGAAGAAATTTAAAGACTATTTACAGAAATATTGTAAAATTAAGGAATCTTAGAAGGATGTTGGATAGAAACTAAGTGGTTTCCAGCTGTAATGCTTTAAGAGATACGAAAAAGGCTTACAAATGGGTAAAAGCTTAATGGTAAGGATTTGCTGAACTAACAAATTGAACTGGAATACAAAAAAGGGAGGTATGAGGAGGTCCGGGGAAATAAGTGTAAGGAAGATAGGTTATGGAAAATTAACGTGTTTTTAACTGTTTTATTTTGTATGTTTTTTTTATTTTTTACTTTTTTGTTATATCTTAAAAACTTTATTCTTTTTTCTGTATTCTGTATTTTTCCTGTATTTTTTGAAACTTTAATAAATATCATTTTTTTAAAAAAAACAGAATGGAAACAGCATTGCATGTGTCAAGCAGGTTGGAAGAGAAATGGATGTCTTCTTATATACCCCAGAGCCAGTCCTGTGCCTCAGAATTTTGTCTTTTGAGGCAATATCTCCTTACACATTTTTTCTACAAAGCCTGTTTATTCCCTTGTCTACCCTTTGTTATTTGTCACAAAATTCTGGTGAAGCTCATAGCTTAAAGGTCAAGGGTGCTACTACTGAAGAGAGTGTGAAAAAGAGAGATCAGGGCTACTATGTCTGCACAATGCCTTTCCCTCAACTTTGTGCATTTACACATGAATGGACCGTTGGTTTTAAACGGTAGAAAGGTCACGCTGAATTATCTTCACATTAGCATTATTTGTGGTAAATTCAATGTGGTATAAAAAATTCAACTAAAGCGGAGTTGTTGAATTTGCACCATCAGCAAAAAAGCTTTTGCTGACACCCTTTTCATAGAAAGAAGAACTAGTTGAGCTTGGTTTTTGTATATCTAATTCCCAAACTCTGTGATAGTGGCTGAAATGTACGATAAGATCTATCATCGTCCCTGATGTGCCATAGATGTCTCTGATCATGTCTTATGTACTGCCATCTCCTCAGGTATAACTGAGAAATGTAGTTTGTGTTCGGCAACTGCCAGAGATCCTGAGCATTTGAAAAGACTTTATGGCAGAGGAGGAGCTTTGCTTTGAACAGTCTGCTAGGCTGCCATTTTCCTTCTCTCCTCTTCCTCATCACAACATAGGAGCCAACTCCCAGGGGCTGTGGGGGCTTTGGCCCCCACAATTAAATATTTGAGAGGGCTGCCCCCCCAAAGTTGATGGGCGTTCCCATTCAAATGGTGTGTGTGCACTGCGCCATGTGCTCTATTATGCTTATGCAGGTCTTACCTGGGCCCCCACAATATTTTATTCAAGTTGGTACCCCTGCCCCACAACTAGATAGGGAAAGTAAGGGAAGATAATTGGGCAGCTTTGGTGGAGGCAATGAATGCTGAGAAAGAGCCAGTACATTCTGAAGGACGATGATCCTATCACTAACAGGGTGTGAAAAAGGGATTTGCTCCAAGCCACCGAGGAACCTTCATGACCAACAAAATTTCAACTTGGGCCTAAGTCCAAACTTCTATTTATCACGTGCACACTTTCTGAAACAAAATGAAAACTGAAACACAGACATGCTTCAAAATTTGAACTTATCCAAATTTTGCTATGCATATCTCCAACCAACCAAGGTTCACCGAAATGCATACATTAGGCGCATAAAAATGAATACATTTGTGAAAATAGCATACAACATACATTTTGACAGGGAATGTTGCTTGCAAAAATGTGTATGTTAGTCCAAACTGCATATAAAAATATGCTTATTGCGTGAAATTCACTCCAAAGTGCTGTAGTATTTTCATAATAAAAAAAGTAAATGAATCTGCAAATTGCTGCAGAAATGTGGAGGGCTAATTTAAGGAGGAAAAAATAAGAACCCGAGAGAACCAAAACTGATAGCTTCTTCCATCCTTAGAGAGAGGGCAGAAGTGGATTGAATGGGGCTAGAATACAGGAAGGCAAATATCAACTGAGCACTAGGAGAAACCTATTGATGGTAAGTTTAACAATGAAACCAGTTATCCAGAAGGCTAATGGCCCTCCCTTTCTGGTAGTTTTCCAGCAAAGACTGGATAGCCATCTGTTGAGGATACTCTAATTCTGGATTTCCTGCAATGAGAAGAGAGTTAAGCTAGATAGCCTGCTATTCTATCATCTTTTGTGCTATGAATGATGGCTTAACATTAAATTCATCAGAAATTTCTCTCTCTTGAAATGATTTCAAAAATTCATCATTTTGATAATGCACCTTTCCTTTGGCAAGTACTTTCAAAGTTGCTGTAGAATTATAATTTTTTTAAAGAACTTCTACATTCAACATTAGTGCAGAACAATCTTCATCACCTGTAACATGATGGCTGAACTTACTCCTTCGTAAATGGCTTCTAGCTTGCATCAAGAAGTTGACACTTCAGTCCAGTTTGGTTCCCAATACAACATTCTTATAGGCAGGCAAAACCATTCCTATAGGGGTTGGAGGATGATTGAAATGATTCTAGGAAATTGACAAGAATCTTCAGGAGTGAACTGGTGGCATAGAACCACCACTTTTTAAAAAAATAACAAAATGTATTTGATCATCTTACAGGAGATCAGTTGCTGTGACACTGGATTTTTGCTGGCACTGATGAGATGAAGCAGATGGGGAAGGGGTTAGGGAGCTCTCCCAGCAGTATCGAGAAAATCCTGCCCTTTTTGGCACTCCTTGTGAAAATGTTTGCTCTTTTTCATCTACAGCTGTCCTCATTTGCCTGCACTCTAAGTTGTTCCCACTTGCCCTGTGACATCATTCAGTCAAGTCAGATTGGTTAGGTACTGTTGTTACATCTTCCCTTTTTTGGTCACTACATCTTTGGCCCTAGGTCTCACCACCAGCTGGTGGTGAGATCCAGATGGTAGATCCATCTGAGACTCAGCTGTACTCATTCATGTTTTAAAGAGAGGGGTTCTAGTCCACCAATGTGCTTGTTTTCTATGCGCAGGATAATATTTTGAATGGAAGAGCATTCAACCACCTGGATCCTGTGGTGTTGCTGTCAAGAAAACCAGCTCATTTTATTTGAAAAATCACACCCTCTTTTCTCCCAATTCCAGAGATGTAACCCCATGGTTCAGCTCAGAGGTGACCAGAAACAATGGTCCTGGTTGGATATCCTGCCTTGTTAATAAACCACTTTTTGAGCAAACCACCATTTACTGAGTTTTGACATCAACAGACAATGTTCATGTATTTCCACCCTAGGGTGTGGAGGGCACTTTAGAAATGGGATATATAAATGTAGTTGTCAACTTCCATTTTAAAGTTCACTGCTCCATCATCTTATTACATATTACATACTGAGTAATAAAACAATTTTTTTTTAGTAAACGGCGTTTCTGTGTGCGGCACTGGTGCCGGTTCGCCGGAGCAGCTTCGTCACGCTGGCCACGTGACCCAGAAGTGTCTTCGGACGGCGCCGGCTCCCGGCCTCTTGAGCGAGATGAGCGCGCAACCCTAGAGTTGGTCACGACTGGCCCGTACGGGCAGGGGTACCTTTACCTTTTTAATAAAACAAATGCACATTTATTCTGATTTTATGTTGAGGGACAAGCCTAACTGTTTTAATCTTTCTCATTTTGCTCTTGCCTATCCTTTGTTGTCACACCATAAATGTATCAGCTTTATTGCTTTGATCATATCTTTAGAGAGATTCAACCTCTGGTTTACTTGTAAACATCTATCACACTTTATGTTGTACAATAATGATAATTAGTTGTCAAAATAATATGATACATTGTCAAGAGAGTGGTTGATGTTTTGATTCAGCTGATTGCTTCTCTTTAACTGGAGTATATAGAAAAACTTAAATCAGTAGCAAGCTCCTAAGTAATATTAGAAGAAGGAGGAGGAAGAAGAGAAGAAGAAGAAGAAGAAGAAGAAGAAGAAGAAGAAGAAGAAGAAGAAGTAATGCTAATACTCGACAATAAAACAAAAAGCAGCAAGCCCGATTTATTTCAGTGTGGATTTGTTTTCCCCTAAATAAATAAATAAATATATTTTGGGGGATTGTATCCAGAATCTAAAACAGGTATGGGGAACCTTTGTCCTTCTCTATAGTGTTTGACTCCAACTCCCCTCAGCTTCAGCCAGCATGGCCAATAGTTAGAGATGATGGGATATCTGACCTCAATAATCTTTGTTACTATCCTCCATAGATTCACACATTCCATCCAAATGAATGATCATACAATTGCAATATGGTGCCTCAGTAGAATGACTTTGTGCATTGCTATAATTGTCTTGATAGACATTGGAATAAAGTTATCTTAATGTGGTTCAAAAATAGCCCAGTAACTCATTATAAAAGGTGGTAAGATAAACCGGCAACCATTTATGTGTCTTTCACTGATGATAATCCATTCAACATATGCTAGGATTTTTGTATCGGGTTTAAAATAGGCAAAATATAACTATTATATATTTTGCATGCAGTTAGCTGGGACTTGCAGACGACTTATTTGACAGATTTCATATGTGTTGAATCTTCACTGCAGGGAGAATGTGTTTAGATAATTTCATATTAGTAATAAAATGCAATAAATCAAATTAATAATAATAATAATTTCCCTTATCTGTTTTTGAAATGTGTCAAATTAATCCACAGTTCACAAATATTTGTAGGTCTCCTCACTTCTAATTATCTTTATTTTATCTCCATTTAAATGTCAAGTGCCTATGATTTATCTTTTCTGAAGTGTGTGCGCACACAAAAACCACCTTTAACATTAACATTATATTGCTTTGTGACATCCCAGAAACCATACATCAAACAAATGTAGAATCTCTTTGGTACCTATTATCTCATTCTTTGGGAAGAGGGAAATCCATAAAAAGCTTACATGTTCTTAACATCTAAAACCAATTTACTTTCTAAATCTTGACTTCTTCCCATGGGATATCTGTCTTCCTTGTTGTTACTATGAAACATTCTTGATGACCACTTTAATACAAGCTTATATCTCATAATTTTGATTTCTCCATACTTCTTCCTTGTGGCTTATTCAATACGTAATCCTTTGCACCTGCTATCTGGATAGCTTCACAAGCTCAATCTCAAGGCCAAAAGCTGACGTGTACCTGCAACTAGCATACTGTAGAGAAGATGCACAATTTCCATTTCCCCACAGACCTGTGAGTCCATTGCTTTAATTGTGATGTTTAGCTTATTTTTTTAGTTGTTGCTTTATAAGCGTTTATAGATTGCAATTGTTTCACTGACGATTTGTTAATTATTCTATAAGGTTTATGATGTCATATCATGTTACGGTTATTTATGGTTTGTTAGCCACTTTGGGATTCATTTGAATGAAAATCAGCATAGAAACATAATAAATTAATGAAATTGAAAAAGGACTGGAAGTAAATTCTTCCTCATTGCTATATGAACCTTGGGTGTGTGAACCTGACCTGTGTAATATGGACTTGCTGCCCAGCATTGACTAAGTTGTGCATGCCAAGCCTAAAGGGCACCTCCAAGAATCATCCAAGCTAAACACAGCAGAAAGTGACCATAAAGCCAATACCATCTCAGGTTTTACCAACGTATTCTTCAAAATTCTGCTACCTGCACAGACTAAGTGCTAAATAAACTACCACTGGACTAGATGCTAAACCTTGACTCTATTTATGTTTGGATAACAATGGCATATGGCTGATTATTGTGTGTTATCTTTATACTGTATTTTAGTCGGGTGATATCTTGCTTTTTGCTATGTAATTGCAGTTATTAGGTTTTGTATTTTTAAAGTGTTTGTTTTTTAACCTTGTTAGTTCATTTGGGCGTCTCCCTTAGAGAGGAAAAATGAAACAGAAATTTTAAATCAAACATTAAATCAAATCCTTCCTATATTTTCTCTCTGCCTCCCACTTCCCTTCAGTGACTCCCCCTCTAATCTTGAAACTGTTTTCTTTTAACCACAGAACAACTTATATATATTGAAAGAGGTGAAAAATATAAGGTTCCTTCTTTAGGCAATTTTATTTGCAAAATACATTAATTATTTTTTCCATATAGTTCTTAAGTTTATTCAGACCTTGCAGTAAAAAAAAAAGTCATTCTGTGAAACATGAGTAGAAAAGATTAAACTATTTCATAACGAAGAAATTTAGCTGCTGGAACAAGAGAGCTTTTTCTTAAGCTGAATACTTTGACATAACAAAATCTCTTTGACATTTTTGATAGAGAAGGTGAAGAAAGTGGGACTTTTTAAAACATAGAGATGTTCATAAAATGAATAGAGTGTCTCTGTGTCCAGGATGGGCAGCATTCATTCTGAGGCTTAAAATTGACATTTGTTCTAATGGATTGCTCTGTATTAGGGGATGTTGGAAGCTGTCAAATTGTATGGGAATCAGAAATAGGCCACCAGATCAAATATTACAAATGAAAAGGTATCTGGACAATTCCCTTTTTAAAAACCATCTCTGGTGGCTTACAGGTGGCCTCACTCAAGGTCATCCTCCTCTGGTACAGAATGCCAGACAGGTTGGCAAAAATAATCTCTCCCTTTCCCTTTTGTGTTGGAATGGTTTTGGAAAACTTGGTTCATTTATTCATGTTTGATAGGAATTCCCCTGTTATGAGTTGGTGGGTGCCAGGCTCCCCTAAATTCCTGGGTCCAGTAAGTGTTAGAATTTAATTAAGGCTTGGGTTACTAGGCTGTCTGCTAGATGCTCTAATCCCCTTGAATCAGCAAGAATTGCTATAATGATGAGACCTCAGTCTGTGGAAGAACTGTAAAGAAAAGTACAAGTGAAATTGTGTACACTATAGATGTTCCTCAGGGTCCCTTCCAGCTCTATGGTTCTATAATGATGATGATTAAATTAATTTACATATTGATTAATTGCTTCTAAGTGGTTCACAAGTATAAAGTCAAATACAAAACACACATAAGTAAAATACATGATAAAGTTATTTCACCAAAATGTTAAAATACACATTTGCAACTGTAGTTAACTGGTTTTTCCAAAGAGATAGATCAAGACTGGTTCTTGGGTAAACACATTTGATAAATGATTTGCACGTGACAAGCAAGAAAAAGAGAAAGAAGTATTTGTTTGCCTAATTACAAAATAATAAATAAATAAATATGCAAATTTATTTAACTATCCTCATTGGCCCTTAAGTGCTATACAGACTTTTGGTCTGAACACTGCATTGAGTAACTTGCTGCATGAGCACATTTGATGTCCCTAGAAAGCCAGTGCCATGAATTGGAAAGCTGCGTCTTGATCTTAATGCTAGGAATTTGGAATGTTTCACAATGATTTGGCCGCAAGGGGAGCTCTTTTGCTTATGAGGCCCTGGTTTTCACCCCAAAGACCCCAGGCCATCTGCTTAAATGTGTGAAAACCATTAAGCCCCTGTTTTAAAATGCAGCAATTATTTAAGGAATGGAAGATGAACAATTTTCTGGACATTTTCACTGATTTCTGCCCAGACACTGCTTCCGACTGCAATATTCCGTATATATCTGGCAAATTCCAGGCATACAACAACCCACTTCTGATAAAATGCAGGTCCATTTGTGGTATGTGGGCAGCAGTGTTTTTTGATTCTCTGTGTGCTGGTAATACTGGAGATGCACGTTCATAATAAACAATACAATCTGTCACATTCTGAACACTGTTGGTTTGCTTCTGTTTATGTGCCATTTTTATGAGCTGAAGAGTCACCCTCGTTTTCTAGTCTTTGACCAAGCTCGCTGAATGATATACAAACAATGCAAAAATTTAATACTGTAGTGTTAGGCTCTCCTGGAGAGAACATGGGAACTGATTTATACCAGGTCCATCTCTCAGCATCCTGGACATCTTCTGTCATTCTTTGATTGACATTCTTTGGGAGCAGCTGGACACTGCAGCCTCCCAAATTTCAGTTTATCTCAGTTTCATCTGTGTATATTCTAGAATATAGGCCAATGCCTTGCTATATCTTAAAATATATAATTGATAACCTGAAAGTACAATTTCCCCCGTCTTCCTTCACTTTATACCTTCTAAGACTGAAGTAACATCTCCCCAAAATGAACTTGATCAAAATATCAATTAATCAGCAGAATGAAGTAGTGAATGCAGAATTTCAAGTGTGCTTAAGGTAGGAGAGAGGTCAAAGAAGTGAAGGAAAGTTCTCGGTGCTGGTGTGATCAGTAGGCTATCGCAGCTCATCAAAAGAATTAATTTTGTAGAAGGATCAAACCAGTGACTTGGAAATAAAGAGATGAGCTTTCTTTTGAGGATTGGAAAAGTCAGCAAGTTAAAGATTATATTGGTTAGTATATGTGAGAATAAAACTGAGTTGTAGACATCTCTTCTACATGTAGTAAGGAGAGGCTCTGTTCTCAGGGTAATTGCATGCCTTGAAAGATGCTGGTATGCAAGGGACTGCAACTCTGACCTTATTGCTGTGCTATTTTTGTATTAAATGTTTGACATAAAAGGCTGAAGTCTAGATTGTAAGCCTGTGGGCTATTATGCAAGTTTCTGAAGTTTGGTGCTGCCTCTGGATGCTTTCCACAGCAACTCTATCAATACAGTCAACTTCCTGTAGTGCTCATGGAGTTGTCTTCTACAGCTCAGTCCTATGTATGTTCAGTTGGAAGCATGTTATTTAAGACTGAGGCTGTATACACACCATACCCCCCCCCAAGAATCCTGGAAACCATAGTTTAACCCTCACAAAACTACAATTTCCAGCATCCTTAACAAACTACAGTTCCCAGGATTCTTTGGGGGAAGTCATGTGCTTTTTGTTGTTGTTGTTGTTTAGTCATTTAGTCGTGTCTGACTCTTCGTGACCCCATGGACCAGAGCACGCCAGGCACTCCTGTCTTCCACTGCCTCCCGCAGCTTGGTCAAACTCATGCTGGTAGCTTCGAGAACACTATCCAACCATCTCGTCCTCTGTCGTCCCCTTCTCCTTGTGCCCAAATCTTTCCCAGCATCAGGGTCTTTTCCAGGGAGTCTTCTCTTCTCATGAGGTGGCCAAAGTATTGGAGTCTCAGCTTCAGGATCTGTCCTTCCAGTGAGCACTCGGGGCTGATTTCCTTCAGAATGGATAGGTTTGATCATCTTGCAGTCCATGCGACTCTCGAGAGTCTCCTCCAGCACCATAATTCAAAAGCATCAATTCTTCAGCGATCATGTGCTTTAAACCTGCCTTTAAAATGTGGTGTGCATGCAGCTTTACCCTGTATTCTGTCTACTCAAGTGTAACATCCATTGATTTCAGTGGGGCTTAATCCCAAAAAGTTGGTGTGCGCCCACCAACTTGGAAGGCTTCAACTGAGGACTGGACAAATTCATGGAGGCTAAAGCTATCCATGGCTACTAGCCATGATGGCTGAGTTCTGCCTCCATAGCAGATGGCAGAAATGCTTCTGAATAGCAGTTGCTGGAAGCCATATAAGGGGGAAATGCTCTTGTGTTCAGGTCCTGTTGCTGGCATCCCACAGACATCTGACTGGCCACAGGATGCTGGACTAGATAGGACATTGACCTGATTCATTAGGTTCTTATGTTTTTAAGGATGGAAAGAAAGGAGAAGTATAAACAGGCATTCATAATGTCTGTGATCTCTGCATTTGTTACTCCTGCCTCTTTGCCCCACTAAGGGACAGGACCAATTTATTCTTTGAACTGAGTAGCATCATTCTGTCCCCAAACAACGCCCGTTAATCAGAAGATGGCAGCAAAATCTCATAAACCATGGAGCCCCTCTTCCTTTTCTCTCAGCTGTGCAATCATATGTGCCAAGAATAAATACAGAGAATAGATGGTGATGTGGCTTAATGACCACATTAGAATGAGGTTGGGATGCCCTTCTCTGAATGTCATCTCAAATAAGCCTCAGCAAAATATTTGCATATCACACCAAAAGGCATTCTTTTTCAGTCCTCACATTTATAGGACAGCTTAACAGGCTCCCATTCTGCATATAGTTTGCCATAGCTCAGTCTGTGAAAGAATCACACCAGAATTCCTGGACTGAAAATGACTTAGCCCCACTGATTTCAGGTGACCAATATCCTAAGCCTTAGTCTTGCATCATCAGCAGCAATGGCAGCAGACTACAGAAAGTCAGACAGAGTCAGACCAGCCATTAGACAGGGTGAAGGG